CCGTCCTAATTCGGGTTGGGCCATGAGCAACCCTAATTAAATTAGGTTGCTTCGAATGGCCCATGTGGGTTACGTGGATAGTTCCATAAATTGTGGTGTCGATATATATTCAGTCAATTGGCCAATGCCGACTGGATAAAAATAACCGAGACTTTCATCATCGCCCAGGGAGGTCGTTTGACAACAAATTGTCTAACAGATATGATTAAATGGTTAAATTAATTCGTGACAAAAGATGTGACCATTCTAAGAAACTCATGAAAATCTATAAATATATATGACCTCCTAATTCTAATTTCTTCTCTCCAAATTGATTTCATATAATTGATTTCTAATTATTTCCTTCTCCAAATTATGTCAGAATAAGGTCCGAATTATTTTTGAGTTTGTGTTTGATATTTAGTATTTGATATATTCCACTCTAAAAGAATGCAATCAAATGCTGGTTCACCCAACAAAATTAATATTATAGAATAAAATTTTGACAGCCTATAAATAAAAAACCAATGCAGGGAAACTCCATACATTCCTCAGATTGAGTTATTCAATGCTGCATTCAGTCTGCTGAACACCACTTTCAGTGGGATGCATGCTAAGACTGGTTTGACGAGCATGTTGACCACCGGTTTTTCCTGTGGTTCTGGCGAACCAGTAAGTGAAGACAACTTCCTGGACTTTCTCAGTGAACCGTCATGCTTCTTCCATTTTCGTGATTTCACTGGTGGGATCAGCTGCTGCGGACGGACATTCTTTGTGCGTGGCCTTCCATGTGGCCTCTTTTCAATGACTGCACCACCTTCTAACACGTCAACAGTAAGTGGGTGGCCAATAATTGACTTACCAGTTAAGTTGCTTTTTGGAGAAATATATGGAACGGGTTGTGGTTGATAGCGCCTGTCCACCTCGAGAGTAACATCGTACAAACCAGAATCAACTTCACGGTCTTCAAGATAAAACTCTGATGCATCATACTTCGGATTGACTGTAGAACATGACTGGCGGTACTGCATTAACCTTTGGGGAATTGCCGGCTCATCAGCTTGTCCTCGTGTGTGAGGTTCCATCAGCATAACAGATGACATTTCAAACTCAATATCCGCAGTTGGTCCTGACTTTCCAAAAGAGCTGTCCAGATTAGTACCTGACATGTACACACTGTCATGTTTATTGCGTACTTCCATTTTTCTTGAATTTGACTTCCTTTTTCCTTTTAACTGCCACTGAGCACCAGAATCCCAAACGAAAGAACCCAACTCATTGAGCTCCTCAATCCCTGAAAACGCTGAAGAGCCTAACATAAACAGCACATCAGTATCTGGGACCCAAAGGCATCAATATGCAAATTACATGCAAAAACCATGGAGGTCAGCCAAGTCTATAAGTGGGAAAGTACTTAAAAATAACTTAAGTTGTGCCATTGAATTCTCTACTTACTTTCTGGGTGGTAATTTTGAATACAAGCACTTTCAATCTTAAGTGCATGAATAATGGCATCACCTCTGTGAGCATATTTCCCCGCCTTCTTTGATGAATTAGATGTGGACGCCTTCGCTTTCTCAATGAACGAATCGAACTCTCCGCAACGAAAAACTTTTACTCTTTTTGATGCCTCGAGATTATACCAGCCCCTAAAAGAAATTTGGCAATAATTTAAATTAAATTTATCTCGCACTGATTGAGCTCGAGGAGACAAAAACTGACTGGAAAAAGAAACTAAGTAATCATTGAACAGAAAGTGCAACATGAACCAACCCTATTAATTAGTGATATACAGGGAACGGTATTTTTGTAGGTAGGTTCTAAATATTGCGTATCAACTTGTCCTTCAAAAGGTCGAGGGCAAGCTTCCCCAGGTTTTTAAGAAAAAATCATTTACGTAAGAACCTACATTTAACCTTAGCCAAACATGATCTAAAAATAGACTCTTCTGAGGGTAACTAAGCCGGTTCTATCGCTAGTTTCAACGTAATATTTAAACTCATACTTAATGTAAAAGGACACAATGACCATACTTAAATGAATTAACATTCCTAACTCATTGCCAATGATACAAGGAAAACAATGATTATTGAATATGACAGAATGTTAAAAAAATTGTTGCCAATCATACGACAGAAACAATGATTGCCGAATATGACAAAATTTTACAAAAAATGCTCCCACAGATTCGAGGTTAACAACTGAAAAACCCAACTTGCAAGCATTTATGTCATTTTCACACTCTTTTTCTTCTATGACAAGTAAAATCGGAATCATCACCACTCCTTATATAGAAATCAGAAGGATATAGGGTGCAACTATTCCCGTGTATGGAGTCATGACAGAGCATATGAAAAGAATATGATAGAATAAAATTCTTGTTTTATATAGAATTACAAATATTTGATCCTAACCATGTATCAAATAAAGGTAACCAAAATTGAAGTTTTTAGCAATGAAGCAAGAACTGAACGAGTCACTTTGGGTGATTTTAAATAAAAATGAAACTATTATCTCACTGCTATACTAAGTATAGTAACAGAGGATCATATGGCTAACTAAATAAAGATCCTAACCTTTAAATGTGAAGAATGATTAAATTATAAACACAAAAAGAACGTCATAGTATCAACATTTTTTGACGAAATGAAGGGACTTAAAAGAGGCTCTTACAAACTTATATCTTCTCTCCCAAGGAGCTTTATAGGTGTCCCTGGTCTTGGCACAGGCAATGTAGTCTTGGGCAATTCATCTTGGCTGAGAATCTGACCTGGCCACCAGTACCCATTTTGCCTTCGGACCCAAACCAAACCACCCACTGATGCATCAATGGCCTTCTTTTTTTCATGAGCTGGACGACCCATGTTTTTCAATTCTGAAAAAAAAAAATGGGGGCGATGAAACATTATGTAAAATTGAAGTCATTTCACTCACTCAGTGAACCCCATATAAATCTCAACCCAACAAAAAATGCACCTGTCCTCCCCAAAACGTTTAAAAAAGTAATAAAAAAAAAAAGAACAACATCATATATCAGTAAAAAGATGGAAGTTTAAACGATAGGAAAAAATAAAAAAGGATCAAGACCCAAATGAAAGGAAAGATAAAAAAAAAAAAAAAAGTTTCACAGTTTTTGAAAGAAGAAAAAGAAAAATTGATCTTGAACAAAATAAAATTCTCAATTGCATTTTATTCAAGCTTTCCCTTTGTTCGAAAGAACATTTAAAAGCCTCTACTCAAAAAATTCAAGTCATTTAAAGCATTTGTTTTTCAAGATGTGCATTTCTGGGTGCTTGCTATAAGTTAGTGTTTAGAAATGTAGAGGAAGTGAACACTTTAGAAATGATTATGAAATGTACCTTTCAATTCTTTTATGCCAAAACAGATAGGAGAAGAGTACGTGTATAAACTATAGAAAGAATGGGCTCTCACTCAGATTTTTATGCCGAAAAAGAGAGGAGAATAAAGAGGGTGTGTGATACACTAGATAATAGGCTTTCACTCGAATGGAGATAGGCATAGAGTGAGAGGGCTATTTATGAAATGAATGAATGACAAAATACAAAATAATGCAGTCGGTAATCATTACTTTTAGTATACAGTATTAAATTGTATTGGTGATACAGTCTGGGAAATTTCAAAGTTTTTCCTTCTTTGCAATACAGTATTATTTTATTCTTGTTGAAGAGGTGTGGCGGTTACACATAAAGACTAGTACACTAATACTTTTAAAATTGTCCCACATGCATGTTCATTTGCCCAATTTTCATTTAAAAAATTACATTATTACACCTTACACAGCTGGATGGTAAAAATCAAGCGGATGATTATGATCAATGGCCGAAATTTGTCTCATTACAAAAGTGAGGGAGTCGGTCCATTGAGCGATTTAGTTGTTTTTCCTTCCTACTTCTTTATAAGTAGTTGGGATATTAATTGAACTTTACACTAGATTAGTTTGGTATAATGATTAAGTTTAGAGGTCTGTTACCATAGACTTATTAATGTATTAGAAATTTAATTAGGCTTATATGATTTTCGATATAGAATCTAATTATATTTGATACCAGTATTTTAGGAATAAACAATGAGAGTACATAACTAATTTTACTTTTCTTTTTGTTAGATATATACGGTGATGATTTGAGAGATCAGTTATGATATAAATATTAACGGTAGTTAGATTAATATGGTCACCAAGTTCTCAAGTCTATTACTGTACGAGCACTAATTATATTAGCCTCATACGGTGACTAAAATAAAAAGCCAGTTAGCATAAGAGCTCAGATACTATTCAAATGGGCATTTTAGAAATGAACATAGCAAGTGAATAAATGTATTTACGTGTTGGATCCATCGCCTTTTTTGTGCGATCTGATTGGTTAATTTATTCGCAACTATTTGACACATCAACACATTGATACACGTGTTAATCCACCTTGACATTCACTACTAATATATTTGTACTTGTCCGTTTATAGAAAATAGCATGGTCTGTGATGCAATGATAAAGTTCGAATTCTAACACCACACCATTAGATCCATACCAGCCATCTACCACTTTCATGTGATCCAATTGGTAATGACATGTTGATACACTAATTAATCCAGACAACGATATCGATTAAATATACCTTTGAGTTGTTAATGATCATTATTAAATATGGCTGAGCAACTCAAATATAATATTTGACGAATAAAAGTTAGTAGATTAATAACCAGTGGGCGAACTCTTTGCAAAATTTGGGCTAGAATTTTTCTTAGAGAGTTTATTTTTTTATGCCTAAAAATATAGATTGGAAAATACTTCAAAAAATTATAATTTAAAAATTAATATACACGTAAAAGGTTACACATTTGTTACTTTTTCATTAAAAGCACATATATATTCTTACTTTTTCATTTTGGAAAAGTCAGAATACTTTTTATGTATTCTGACTGTCATCAGTGATGATAGAAAGAGTGTTTATCCTCGCTGGTGGACTGTCATCAGTGATGATAGAAAGCATTATTCAAATAATTTGGACCTGAGACTTAACTTAAGCCATGCCGACAGTTTTAAGAAGTTAAAAATTAATTTTAATCATACATTTTATCGGATTCAAAATTTTCTAATCATGCATGTAATCAATTTTTATCAAAATTTATTTCAAAAAAATTCTAATTTTAATGCACTTTGAAAAGGGGCTTATATTTTTTAGGGTTAGTTTAATTCCTTATTTTTCTTCATCATTTACATGAGATTCTGACCTCTTTTCAGGTCAAATAGGTGTATAAAAAGAAAAGGTTAATACTCAGATGGAGATAGGACTCGAGAGTGAGAGGTATTTATGAAATGAATTAGAGGAAAAAAATAATGCAATCAGCTGTAAACACAGTATTAAAGAATACTTTGTATGACAAATTGTATTATCTTATTCACTAGGAGTGAACACAATTTGGTTTGGGCGATTTGAGACAAAATTTCAAAGTGAAATTCTTTCAAACCAAACCAAATCACCATTTGAATTAAAACCACGGTTAACAAATAAAAAATAATCCCTCAATTCCATAAAGATCGGCTTACTTTCTTTTTTTCATGTGTGTCCCATATTATAGGCCACTTTCGTTATTGAGGGTATAGTTAATTTTTTGATTTTCTAATATTCCCTCATTTAATATGTCTTATTATTAACAAATATGAAATACTTCTACTTAAATAGTTATTTAATGTTGGCGTATATTAGGAAAAAATGTAAGAAAAATGTAGTTCCAACTATATTTCGTAATCCGTGTGAAAATGGAAATAAATCTATCTTTGTGAGATGGAGGAAGTAATAAATATTGAATAAGTTAAATCATAAATATTAATCTAAAATTTCATGTTGAAACATAAATTTTAATATTATTACAACTATTACGAACAATGTTTTACGTTTTTAATAATTATAATGCAAAACATGATATAAACAATTTAGTTATAACCTCTTAATCAATATAATTGGCGTAACATCTTCAATTGTAACATATGATTCATTATTTGCATAAAGATAAGAATATAGGAAATTTATTTATTAATTATAATTAAAAGATATGAAGCAACTTATAAAAGAAAATGAATAGAAAAACCAACTATACGATACTACCTTGTACAGGTTCCTCTAGATCATCTAATGCTTCTAAATCATTCAAATAATGACGTATAGGTTCCTAGTTAGTATACAACCAATTTTTAGTGCAAATCACCACATCAACAATCAATTTGGAAGATAATAATGTATTCATTCACATTCAATTTCTACCCAAAAAATATGTCGAAAGATTCATTGGTCAAATCTTTGCAACGACCATTTACGAAATCCACTGTCATTCTAGCAATTAACTATAAAATCTAGCAACTAAGTCAGAATAAATAATATATTGAGTAAAAAAATAATAATATTCAGTTAAAAGTATAAGGGAGCCCGACACAAATTAGAAGAAAACAATACAAATACCAATAAAAAATAACAAATAATTATTAAAATTTAGAAAATTAGATAATCTGCATTGGAAATTGAGTTGAAATTCGAGGAAATTTTTAGTAGAAGAAGAAAATTGTGCAAGTTTAAATTAAAATCTAGATTTAATTTTCTATTCAATTGTGATGGCTGAATCACGAATATGGTTCAAGAATAGTCATTCATCCAATTTAAGGATTTTGCATTCAAAATTGTGAAAACAATGAACAATTGGGTATGATTTAGTTAATTAATTATGATGGATAATTGTCTAATTGAGTTGGGTCTAATATGGATCTATCTTTTCAATTGGGATATGTTTAGTTTTAATTGGGTTGAATAGATTTAAATTAATTTATTTTTAGTTTTTTTCGTACATGGTTTGTCAAATTTGAATTGGTTTGAAAAAATTCGAGTGGTTTAGTTCGGTTCAAAATCAACATATTGATGGATCCATATGGACCCACACCAATGGTTTTGAAAAAGCGATTTTGATATGATTTTGAGGTTTACGGTTTCGTTGTTCAGCCATATTATTCTCAATATGTAAAGAGGTGTAGCGGTTACAACATTGAGACTTGTAGACTAATATTTGTAGACTTGTCCTACGTGCATGTTGATGGCCCCATTTGAATCAGAAAATAACTTTACACACCTTGTATAGCTGAATGAAAAACCTAAATTGCCTACATGATTTTATCAAGCAGATGATTGTTATCAATGGCTAGAATTGTTCTGATTAGAAAAGCCTTTAAGTCACTCCATTAAGCTCTTTACTTTTTCCCCTTCTATGCTAGTTTTACAGGTATGCCTCTGCCTACAAGGTAAGCCATGTGGCAGCCAACTAAACAAAATGCCATGAAAGGTTAGCACTCCACGTCACATCACCTCTTTCACATTTCTCTTCCAACACGAATAGGTCAATCATTTAGATGCCTTGCTCGGAATACCGTTGTTTTGGAAGCGATGAAACAACTCCCTGCTGCAGTGTATATCCAAGGGGATGGGCATCAACTACCAGCCTCGCCTCGGCCAAGCTACAAAAATAGTACAGTGCACAAAGTGATTGATGCAATATCTCCATAGCTGAAGTTCCCAGTCAGATCACAACTTTTCAGCCTATACACTGGGTCTGCAAACCATAAGCCTACGATGGCTATGAATTGATACAATTGAACATGAAAAGTGAGCCTTTAGGATGAGTCTACATGAAAAGCATCTAGAGGGGATCTCTTTTGTCCTTTTCTCATATAAATACTTGGTGTTTTCTTATTCAAATGTAAGCTTTAATCAAGTCTTAAACACGGTAAGTTTTTGGTGAACTCAACACCCATATTTCTGTCCATCATGTCCCTTACACATACAACATAATCCACCATCTGACT